CATTCCTGCAGAACCTGTGGTGCTGCATTGGTGGGATGTGATACAAGATAATTTGATTTCATCAACTGAGTTGATCATGTAAATTGACCACCATAGCAAGTCTTAAAGTCTGACATTATTAGTGTCAGCCCTTTATCAGAGAGAGTTTTTTTTTTTAAGGAAGGCTGACACTGTAAAAACCCGCAGATAAGCCGCACCTGTAGATAAGCTGCAACCGCAGATAAGCCACACCCTGAATTTAGCAGCTCAAATTTTGGAAAAAAATTTTTTTGAAAGAAATCAAAAGAAATCCAAAGTCTAAAGGCATCAGATCAGATGCGAAAATTTCAACATACACAACACCTTTTTCAAATGTTCCCGCAGATAAGCTGCACCCCCAATTTCTAGTGACGATTTTTGGAAAAAAGGTGCAGCTTATCTGCAGGTTTTTACACTACTTGAAACATCAGCTTCAGAAACTCTCTACCAAGGTCAATTCACATTATCAACTCAGTTGATAAAACCTAAATAAATAAATAAGATTTCAAAACCAGTGTAATAAAACCAACCTAATGTGTCTGCTGCCATAAGAATTCCACCATCAAACTTCACACCAAGCACAGAGGTACCAGTTGTGGTGGGGTATCTGACAAAAGAATAATTGTGATAAATATCATAATATGAAGAACATTTTACAGTATGAAAAATGCTACAATCATGAAGGTACTACATGATGCCTAAATTGACGTGGCGCACCGAATCATATTGATGGGCGATGCAAAATTATTTGGGCTAAGGAAAATTATTCTACTGACCACTTAGAGAGTTACTGTTGCTATTCAGAAACACCTGTGCGTTCCCAAGAGTGTAGATCCCACTGAAAAATTTAATTATTTTTGTGTAACGGTATTTTTAGTTTTTGAATAGGTCCCATTAAAGAAGCATATGAATAAGTCCTGAACAACATCATCATTGTGTTTTTTATATAATCACGCTAGCTCTTCTACAAAATTTACCGCTATGGTCTAATCCTTTATCAATCTAATGTTTGACGCAATGAAAAAATTATACGCCAATTAATATCAAGAAAAACTCATGCCTTTGAACCAGTTTAAACTTATTCATCAAAAACTAAAATCTCTTGTAAAGCACATGAACCTCTGTCGAGCAAAATTGTCGCTAACTACTATATAACCAGATGTTTACTCACAAAGTTCTCTTAGCCGGTGAAAATTTTTCAACAGTTCTAGAACTACTTGGATTGCCGGGAAAGTTATAGAAAGCGCCTGGTGATGGTCCATTACTCCAAAACTGATCTTGAAATCCAGGAACATTCATTGCGGCCATGTTTCTCTTCTTTTTGCCTGAGTCATTCCCAGCATGCAATATAGTAATAAGGGGTTTTCTACCGGGGTGGGTTTAGTGTTTCTGCAAGCTGTTAAATGTAAGATTCGGAAGGAAAATACTGAACTTTTAGGCATCATATGAGCCAATTAATTCATGCTTAAGAATTTTGTGAGGGAAAGTATGCTATCGAGAAATTTTCGACAATTTTTGAGTGTCTCTTTTCATCTTTCTACTTACCCCTCCCTTCATCTCTCTGATTTGTACATTTTTCACCGCTGATTAGTGCAGGCGCAAGCACACTCGTCTCTGTTCAAAATGGCGGACAAAGTGGAGAGTCTCATCGTGGGCAGAGAAACCCGGCGAAATGCTGGAAACTTAATGTCTAAACTGATAGCAGATGAGCAAGAAGTTGATGATTTCTATAAAACAGCTTTTGGAGGTTTCGAAGAAGAATCTGGGGATGAGAAATATTCAACAGAGGAAGAAGAAGCGGACGTTGTAGACTCCGACTTCAGCGTCTCTGAGACAGATGAAGTGATAGATGATCAGGGAGATGACGAACCGGTAAAAAAGCGAAAAAAGCAGTTCATAAAGCCGTATAAAGCTCCGAAGAAAGACACTGCACCTTCGAAAGATACTAATAAGGAACCAGAAGTGAAAAAACGGAAAAGTTTCGAGGACGCTCCACGAGAAGGTGTGAGAAAATCAACCAGGGCGCTTACAGTTGAACGCGCTGAGGCAACGAAGAATCGTTTCAAACTTGAGAAGGAGAAAAAGAATTTGCTTAAAAAGAAGCAACCGAAAAAGTTTCTCGACATGAGGCGCCTTACTCAAGAAGAACTTTTAGCAGAGGCGAAAATAACGGAAGAGGAGAACGTGGCTTCACTTCAAGCTTATCAACAACTGGAGGCCGATAAAAAGAAAACAAAAATCCAGAAGGTTGCATTAAAGGGCCCCATTATCCGCTTCCATTCTTTGTCCATGCCGGTCGTGGAAGTATCAGAGCCTTTGGTGAAGGTTGATGACAATGAAGACGAGGAAGTAAATGTAGATTCAACGAAGAGATGCTGCAGGAATTTTTTGATTTTCACAGATGCAAAGAATTTTCCCTCTGCATACTTTCCCACTAAAAAACTCAAAGTTCCACACAGAACTTACTGTCCAGTCACAGGGTCACCAGCTCGATATCAAGACCCTGTCACTGGTTTACCATTTGCAAATGCCCAGGCTTTTAGATGCATAAGAGAGAGGTATGCAATGCAAGCAGAGGAAATGAAAGGAAAGACTTCTGAACTTGAACAAAGAAGAGCCAGGAAGTTGTAGGATAAGTAACTGCCTGCTTCAAACTGTACAGAATGTGAAACTGAGGACGAAAAAAGGGAACAGTAATACCAGGTCATAAACCCCCTTAAATTTTTTTTTTTTGCAACAATAATGAATCAGTGAATTATTTTATCACTTAATTCATATATCATTGCAAATATGGGATTATGATCCAATAGTATTTTCCATCCTGGTTTTTTTTTTCCTCAGCAGTAATCTTGCATAATCTTACTCCAAATTTACATCAATGCAAGCTTTCTTCTCTTTCCTTTGGTATCACTGTATTGTAGAGAGTTTTTTTCACATACAAAGGTGCAAGATTGTTCAATGTTATGATATGCAAGGAAACGCTATTCTTTAGAACTGATCATGAGTCATGCATGTGAGAGTGCATATTTGAGTTCTGACTGAAGCAACAGTTCACAAATTCAAGTTGTTTACAATAATCACATGAAATATAATCACAATGTACAAATGTATCTATTAAGGATTGCCTCTACTGGTTGGAATTCAATATGGTTGTCATTATTTCTTCAAGAGAAAATAGACATCACCAGTCACATGAAGAGTAAACCACATTCATTTATTGCTATATTATGTAGTATAATACGGTCTTAAAACGTTTACCAGCCAAGTATTGTTTTTCACTGTTGGTGTTTTTGTTGAGAGTGTAAACCACTGTTATATTTTTGTTAAAAGCATTCTTGTGTAAGTAAAAGTAATGTCTTGTAAAAATTGGTATAACAGTCTAGTAAAAATGATTTATTTACTTAAGACACTGTTTATTGTTTTGACTTTGGGAATTAAGAAGCCAATCATAATTTCTAAAAGTAGTGGGTATATTCCAACATCCAGTGTAAATTTTGAAAGATGAGAAGTGTTGGCATGTTTTATTGGAGTAGAATACAGATACATTTATCATTCTGATAGTGACGTTTCACCTGCATTCTGTCTGTCTCCTTAAGGCAATGAATTGAGTTTTCCTTGATAATTTTAAATAAACTGAACTGGAAGAACCAGTACTTGGAGAATGCAGGTGCAGTAACTCTTACATGAAGTCACTCAGAGTATCATTCGACCACATGGTTTGACAAAGACAGGCGCTTCAGCATCGAAACATGGTCTAAAACTTTCAGGGACTTCAAATCGCAAGACAAACGATGAAACGTAAATGTAAGAGTATAAAAATTAATGTCAAGTTCCTCTTCCAGGAACTTAATCACCTTATATAAGATTTCTACCAATGAAAATGGTTACACTGTGACGCCAAAAATGGCCTTGACTTTCTCGTCGAAATTTTTTTCGATCCATATTTTATCTGGAATTTACTCTAGATCTAAGGTTAATTGGCGAGTGTAAGAGGATTAAGAGATAAAGAGTGGGGAAGGGAAGTTATTATCCTGTACTATCCTCATAGTTAAAAGAAACGAACTACAGACGGCGAGTTCACGTTAAGAAAAAGAAAAGAGAGCTGTGACTTAGAAAACCATAGCCACCTATTGGTCCTCGCCATATCAAAGTTGTGCTTGTCTCCTCTTTTTGAGAGACTGGATCAGTCTGGAAAGCTAGCTGCAATCTGATCTGTGAGCTGGATAAGTATTTTGGCCTGATTGGATTGATTAGATTAATATCTAGCACTATCAGGACACACCCTAATTCCAAATTCAGCCTTCTTTGCATGATAACTAAACTGCGACAAAGCAATGTCGAGTGTAGACAAGAGAACATATTGATTTGAAACATACATTTGAAAAATTTGGGACGCTGACAAGGAGTCAAACCTCAGACCTTTAGATTCTACGCTCCGATGCTTTACTACTGGGGTACAGAGAACTTTATGCTACTCTATTCTTTCAACTCCCAAATTAAGATTGTGCTTTTGTCTCGTATAACGTCGTTAGGCTTGACATGGGGGTTCTTAACAGATTCTTAACAGCACTTGCGTTCATCGAGGCGCTAACTGTTGTGAGAATAAAAATAATTACAACGTAGCGCACACAAAACAACAACATGAAAGATATCAGCAATGAAAGTACGCACAAGAAATAACAAAAATGGAATATTTTATTAAAAATTACAAATCTCGATGAAATAACGTATTTTTGATGTAAAAACTCAAATTCCTTACTTTTTTAGTCGCTATAGTCTATTTTTTCTGATGTTTTACAACGTGTAAGTTTTTTGACTTAGTTGTCAATTTCCCCCCCCCCTCTCTCTCTTTCTGAGCCAATTTAATATTCTCTTTCATGGGCCGCTCAAAACCATCGCCTTTTGGGTGATGCCGTCAACATTGCAGAGCGAGAGTCTCCAATTCTCCCTACCCAACCCCCTAACCCGTCTAGCTATGAACCAAATTTCCATTTTTTCTCACCCAAAGAAAGAAAACTGTACGAGACTCTCACTTTCTTGAGAAAATATATCATTTTAAAGTCTTCTTTTGCGGTCGAAGGTTTGTTTTCTTCGGCTTTCCTCTCTTTCTTAGTTGCAATGTCTCTTAAAAAACAGTGGTCTTAAAAAGACGATTGTCTTAAAAGATTTTTCCCATGAATTTCAGCTGTAAGAATAGACTTAAAACAGACGACACAACGTTTGCTCGGGTTCATGATCCCGAGCTCTTGATAGGTTTATAATTTAATAAGATTTGGTATTATTACCTTGTCAGTACTCTCCCACTGACGCAGCACCGCAGTTTCTTTAGAAACGTACCTCCTTTACAATTTAGGATATTCGCAATAATCTTGCTTTAAAAGCGACAAAAAAATCTTCATGATGTAAAAAGCGTTATAACCCGCGTTTTGAAGTTTGCGAATTTCGCACGGAATTTCCAGCTTCATGAGAATGTCTTCTATGCTGTTGTTTTTCCGAGAGTCAGGAAAAAGAGCAGAATGAACGGTGAGCGTATCGATAATTTCCTTGTGCTCTTCTCGAAGGCCTTGAGATTTGAGGAAACTACGAATATCTTCTGAAGACGTTGAATGGGTGATCAAAAAATCAACGTGAGAAACGTTTTCTTGAAGCTTGGTTATTATATCAGTTAGTCTTGCAACCTCTGCACTTCGAAACAAAGAGACGTCGTAGCTCTCTAACTGCGTGTTATTGTTTAACAAAGGTACATTTTCCTTTACTAAGAATAGACGATAATTTTCGCCATCCTGTTCACTTTCCAGCGAAAACACTACGTATCCAATTTGCAAGATTTTTGTGGGGTCTTGCTCAAAAAATTTTACATTGAAAGCTAAAAATAAGGGTGATTTTTGCTCAATGACTTCATTTATCCTTTGAAGCGTATGTACTCCATTGATGTGCCTTTGACGAGCAATGGAACGATTCTTCTGTCGCAACTGGTCATTGAAGATGACGAAATCTTTCAATGTTTTAAAGACCCGCATAATTTGCGGTGTTTTCCGGGACAATTTAACTGGTTCCACGTCGGGCAAATTCTTTGTCATTTCTGCTGCCTTGTCTATCTTTTCTTTAAAGAATGTATACCCTTTGTAGTCCAGGAAAATTCCTGCGTTGTGATCGAGATCATAGGCTACCACAAAAATCATTTCTTTTAAATGGCGATCAAAAGAATGGCTGAAATAATACTTAATTCGTTCGTAGCAGTGTTTCCCTTCTTCGCGACTGGCTCGTGTCCAGGTCTCTCTCAACGTCTCAAAACTGTACATGTATTCTGGGCAGTTTTGGCACACCATAGAACATGGTAATGTACATCTGTCTTCCAGTCGATACTTAAATTCACTCATTTTTTCATGCAAACTAAGTATACTTTACTTCCATCAGAAATGATCAATTTGTCATCTGCATTAAACCTGCAACATAAAATCATTTCATTATTCAATTTATCTTTCCGTATAGCAATCGAAAACAAACTATCTTAGAGTTGCTAATTTTGTTTTTCAATGAATTTCGTAAAATTAATTTCGTTTATCTTGAAGATGATGTGACATATTTCGCAAGACCTAATCTTAACGATTTTGCAAGAAAATTGGTTAGTATTATCTAAATTTCGAAGATCCACATCTTCATTGGGAGTGCAACATATAACTTTTTCGTGAAAAAAAATCCAAAATCACAGAAGTTCTATACAGGACGAAAACAGTGCTTGCATGTTAGTTTTTTTACAGCCCCAGTACTACGATGTGACGCAAGAGCACGTCCTTTACAGTCAGAATACATATATCCCGTTCTTAAAACTTTTACAAGGATAGTTCTCTGGCATTGGTAAGGCAACGAAATTAATTAACAGCATGATCGATTTTGACAAATTGAGTGTAACATTTTGATAACTTTACGTCTAAGGTCCGAAAAAGTCTTCTTATTTTGTGGTAATGCTTTTCGACGGACTTGGAGATCGGAAGCATTGCGCAATTGTAGTCCCGTCAAAACTAAGTTAAAATATCGTACCAGCTAATCACCAGCATGATTATGAGCAGCAGATATCTGAGTCTTCAAACATTATTTAAAAAATTGGAAATATCATGACTGCTTGAAATGAAGATTCCTTACTCTACTTACATGGCATATTAGTGAATTTCATATTAGAGGTTCTACAATGCCTGGTTTTAGTTCAGACGAAAGTAGAAGACAGCCACAGCCCAGACCAACCAGACCAGCGTACTGTATCTGGAGCCCGGCGCTGTTTGAGCGCCGGTTAAACAGACTGCGTTTAGCTTAATATTGGACCAGGCTTGGCTTGCCAGCTATAAGATTTATTGCACACTTCCGGAACGACGTAATTTTTCAAGTTTCGATTATTTAGTCTTAAGGGTTTTTATCCATTGAAAAGAGCCCAGCTGAGAATGTCTGTATGTACGTAGAGCTCATCACATTCTCGGATTAATTAGCCCTTCATCATAAGTTCAAGTCGAACGAAAATATAAAAGAATAAAACAAATGAAAAATTATGCTGTAAAAACGATTTTTACGTAGCAAGCTTTTGGGAATCGTCCGACAATCTGAGGTTTTTTTCACTTTCACTTTCACAAAGGGATACTAATTCTGAGCATGCTTTGAGATGTTTTAAAATCACCTTAAATATCTTAGCAGCTGGAAATGAAAAGAGAATCGAAAATTAAAACAGCAATAGTGAATCCTATAAGGAGCAAATGGTGAAAAAAAAAACGGATAAAATGTCACGAAGTTGAAAAGTTTTAGGTTTCAAGAACCGACTTGGACGAAGTCCTGTTTATTCGCCCTTAATTCACTTGTTTGATCTTCAGCTTGCGCGTCACAAAACAACCTACGTACAAGAGTCTCTAAGGGAGAACCTCAGAGGTTGGCAGCTCTGAAGTTTATCACCAAACTAGAACCAATAAACCAAATAAACAAGTTATAGGATGCTGTTTGGAGTGATTGAACTCCAATGAGATCGTATCCAAAGTGTGTAGCCAGTTGCACTGTTGTCATTAATAAAATTGCAATCTGTGATTAGCTGTCAGTGGCAAATAATGAATCAAAATCTGTATGGAATATTTTCCACGCATGCAAAACTGGATGCATTGTCTATACACAGCGCTTACAGCGAATAACAAGCGTAGCATTTTCCTACTGGTTCGATTACCTCTTTCCAAGACTCTCGATTCTTCCTAAGTAGGTGTTTATTTATGAGACAGGATTGTGGTAAGCACAAATCAAAACAGATGAACGCTGCCTTTCGATCTAAGAGTGTGTTTTCCCTTCCTTGAATTATTCCGGCAATTTATCGTGATTTTGGTCATGCATATTGTAGTTTACTTTTTTCCAAAAAACATACTCACAAACTTCACTTACTTGTGGCTCTATCAGTCCAGTTTTACAGCATTAACAGCTAATCTTGGCGTCTTAGTCGTGGAAGCAAACGAAACCACACAATTATGCATATTCAGAGTCAATTGGGGTTAACGCTATTTTAAACACAATCAAATTCATTTGACTTTCAAAGCCCTTTTGTAATCTTTCTCAGCTTTTCCTTTGTTTCCAAGATTTCTTTGCGGTGGTATGATCGAAAATTATTGAATAACAGCGGTAGTCAACTGCAGGAAGGAGTCTTTTGATTCAAATTGAAAAAAAGGAGAAAAAAAGTGAATTGAACATGTAACAAAGCCATAAGTAATTCTTGTAGAGTCTGGTTGGGATTACCCGGCAACTGTCAAAAAGCGCTAATGTTAATTTATTTTTTCCTTTCCCAAGAAGTGGAAGAAAAACAAAAGAATAAAAGAGCGACAAATGTCAATATATTTTTTTAATTGGAAAAAGTAACGACCAAGGAAATTTGTAAAGTGGCTGTGTAAAAGACATCAAAGATCTGAAGTGCGGTATTTTGGTAATCCATGCAGGGAGAACAGTATTAACTAAAAAAAAAATTTCATGAAAAGTCATATAAACTTCAAAGGTCTCATTTAACTGACGATACTGAGTTTCCTTAATATTGCGGATGATGCGCTTACCGAGAATGGAATTAAGGACATGTTGTTTCTTATAGCTGGTATCTTAGATCTTATAACTAATGCTCTTGAATTACGATTTACAAGAAAATACGAACCTCATTGTGACTATGACCTTATAAGCTAATAGTACGTGATCAAGTGATGACCAGTTAAGAAAACCGTGATGATAATCTCTCAGTCAATCTTTTCACAAGTCCATTCCATTTCAGAGCAACTACGTTTTACCCATACAGCCCTAAAGGTTTCGTGTGTAAAAAGCTTCTCTGCAAATTTGTAAGAAATCACTCTCTTATACGATATTCTCTACATTGCGATTGGTTGTTGCTGAGTGCTGATTTAAAAGGTCATTCAAGGTTGCGTTGATCATGTAAACTGATCAATGTTCCAAAATCACTCCAGGCGGTGCTTCTAGTTCTTAACCTAATCGTGTTCACACTCATCATCTGACACGTGTCACGCCACGCATCACAAAGTCTCCGACAAAGGTTAGCATAATGATATCAAAAGTTTCCATGAGGCTTCAGGATTAAAAACTATGAATTTAGCAGTCGAGAGATCTCAAGTTATAAATAAAAACTGCACACATTTAAAATTCTAATACACTTCCACCAAAAAATAAGATATCAAAAGTACACAAGCTTTGCATTAACTGTGATCAGGATAGTTTACGATGGAAAACGTTTATGATCATGAATAACTAATATAGTTCGATTTGGTGACGGGCAAAAACTGATTTTAAATCATTCTGGTCTCGTGTGAATGAAGTCAGATCACATCCTTATTAAAGAACTTCCTATGTAAATAGTTTATTTTCAGTGGATAAATAAATATATCAAATGGAAATCAAATTCATTTTACTTGTTATTTTTTTTGGCTATCAAACTTTAGTCACGGGATGAGATAAACATTTTTGTTCTGTCAGTCGGTGACCTGGTCTTTGATATATTGTATTCGTTTCAATGATGCAAAAATGACGTGATCTTGTAAAGTTGTTAAAAAAAAGAGAAGAAAGACCAAGAATACATTATGCACAACGAAAAAAGTTAGCTGTCGCTTTTGCATTAAATTAGGCTGAAGCTAAAAGCTCATGATGTTTCCATTTTGTTCAATTAGATTTTGCTCAGCTTTTCTTTGGTCGTTTAATACGACTGTAATTTTCAAATTTCAACAACAATTTGTTCTTGTGAATTAATTATTCAAAGTTAGCATGATAATGGATGCACCTGAGAGTAGCTGCGTGATGAAAGCGGGTTCAAAAAATGACAGACTAAGCATGTATATTATAGATTTTTACGTTGACAAATTAGTCTAATACTATTAAAAGAGAGGAAAAAAATTAACCTGCACTGCTAGTTTTGCTGTAATATTTTCTTATTAAAGAAAAAATGAAAACTTGTTATTTTCGAAATTCAGTCAATGTGTGGATTTAACCATGCATTAATTGTAAGATTTTCCCTCTTTACATTCACTTTTAGACATATTTTTAATTAATCTACGTATAAGGTCATTCTGAAACTTAAGAGAGATTTTAGTTGTGGGAATGTGTTCCAGAAGAGTTTTGCACTTAAGTTTTAATCGACAAATCGATTTCCATAAGTGCACTCTGTTATTCATCCACCAGTATCTCTTAATCTACCAACATTCAAACACCGTTTTAACGCCGTAAAATTTGAGTGTTACGTGGCGTTTGCAAGCACATCTTGAAAACTGTAGGGGACTTCAATCTCGGAAGTAACAAAAGATATTATTTTAGTTTAGGTTGGTCGGATGAGAACGCATGGAATGGTTTTTCGTTTAGTCAAAACATCGCACTAAAAGACGTTAAGCACCACCTGTCGGTAAAGTTACATACATTTATACGGCGTGTGGCTTCGTGTAAAGTTATAACAGCAAATTCAATGAATTTGAAAGACTAACTGAGCTGAAAATGTTTTTTCCCAAAACGAACCCTCCATGCAGCTTTAGGAGCCGACATGCTATGAAAATTCATTACTGTAACAGCCACCTCTTGGTGTAAAACTTAAATTTATCTGTAAATTGCGGCACAGGGTTTAAACATTTGCATCAAAAGTAAACCACAGGCCTGAGTTTAAGAAGATATTCCATGATACACTTTCTACGACAGAAGCTAATTGTTACGAATATTTTTTTGGCCCAACGGAAATCTAACTAACCTTGCGAATGTCCACTGTTACTCCGAAACGAAACGTAGGTTGTACATGTTGTCCACGGGCCACCACTAATTATTACAATAAAAAAAGGCTTTCGACGAGGTCAGTTAAAGTGGCTTTGCATTTAAAATGCAAATAGTAAATCTATTTTAAAGTAGTGGCATCAAGAACTATATTTAGAGAAAGGCTGATATATTGTAAGTCAGTTTGTAGACCGAAAAAAAGTTAAACAGAGAAAATACAGCTCGAATGATTTTAGAGTCACTATGATAAATTCTTTAATAAAAATAGGAGGACTTGTACTGTTGCATAAATTATTTGCTGATTATTTGGGATGTAACTTAATACTCTTAATTTGCATACTTGTCTGTGTGATAACCGATGTATTTACAAGAAGGTACCAACTAAATAAGTAAGCTCAAAACCGGCTGTAAAATGTAGCGAAAACCAAGCAAACAAATTACAACAAAAATAAAAACATCAACAACCATCAAATCTATTCACCGCACAGTAGAAACTTAAGACTGACAATTGCAAATTTTTAAAACACTTAATCTCTTTCGTGTCTAATCAAGTCCATTTACGTAACTTCAAACGTCTTTTCCTGATCATCCACGTTTGATCTATTTGGACACAAATAGTCGATCGTTCTTGAATAAGAGACTGACTATTGGTCTCGTGATAAGCAAAGATACGCTTAAAAGGGGAAATCGAGCTAATAGCAGATTGGATATGGTACTTATCATATATTTTTTTTCATAAAAGTGTTGTGTTAACTAAAAAGATTATAATCTCTTGGTTCACTCCATCGTTCTAATCCACTTCCAGGACCCGTTCGAGACTAGCGTCCCCTTGTTTTGGATTTAGTGGACAGAAACTCGCCAAAGACGCTAGTTTACCAATATGAAGAAACAGAGGGACTTTTCATCATCTTGGATGGTGGTAACATGCTGCAGAAACCTTTTAACAACTTAAAAGTTGTTCAGCCAACAAAATTACGGAAACACTTGCCAATCAGTTTGAACGAATCAGACTTTCAGGACAGACTTTGATATCTTTCCATTGTTGTCACATAATTTTTTTTTACGTTTAACTTTTTTACAGCCAAAGATTAAAATTTGTCAAATTTTTAAGCCTAGCGGCTAAAGTTTTAGGCCGTTTTACGGCTAACGGTTCACCTTAAATTACCATTTGTTGTTAAACCAAGGCTCTGTTGCCTTATCGAGTTTGGATTGTAGCGCGTGAGTAAAGACACAAACGATTTGACGAAAAAAAAGGCACCAGAGCAGCACGACTGCCATCCGATGAACCGGCGCGTAATTAAGGAACAATGCAGTAATTGATACTATTAGAAGAAAAGCAGCTGCTGGTGTGCATTCATTTGTTTTGAAGCTCCTTGGCATCAAAGCATGATTTTTATCCACCATCAGTTTAAAATGCTTAATCAAACTAATAAGCTTACAAATGAAGATTCTTTCAGACCTGTAAATCTGCGTTGTCGTGCACGAGTAATAATATTGCCTGTCAAACTTAATCAATTAAATGTGCCTACAATCTTACAATCAGGTTATATAGAGTGAGCGCTTGTGCGCTAAAAGTTTGGTCTGTGGTCTAATTCATTTAAGCCTGGCACAGTACAAAAGAGACGATCAAAAGGGACGATCAACAGGAACAGGCTGACGTGTGAATTTGTTAAAATCAAACAATCATATAGCTACATAATGCCGGTTTATAAATGTATGTACAACTTTCCGCAGCTAACTGAGGTTTAATTCAATAAAACTAGCTGTACTTTACCGGTAACACTAGAGATGGAGAAAATAAACAACGCGCACTTACTAATGTATCCTTCGTATTTATTTACTGGAAACACCCTGCGTTATTTCCGAGACCCTAGATTAAAATATTTTCTGGGGGAGCATGTCTCAAGACCCCGCCTTATATGGAGCGCCATCGCCGCTCAATATTTTCTACTCATCCCTTTACATTAAAAATCTCATGCTACACCCCCAGTTTTAAAGAAGAGTTCAACCTTTCAAAGAAATCTGAATAGATAAACAATGTTATAACCAGCCAAAAAATAATATACAATAATTCTTCACCAGTGCTGAAACTAAAAGCTCAAAATACGAACAGTTAACAATTCGTCGGCGGCGTTACGAAGCGGCGTTACGTAATTCGTAATTTCGTTCGACTATAAATACAAGCATTTCATGCCGGGGAAGCTACTATGTTTGTCGGATGTGATACGTCATTACCGATCATATTAAAGCCACTATAACAATGGCAGCGAGGTTTGTGAATATCATAATTCCCCGCGATGCATATGAAATAAGAAGCAGAGAACAGAATTAATGTTACGTTTGGTTCTAAATGGCATGAACTTAGTATATTAGGAATTCCTTATTGCAAGTTCAAAAAAATATTAGCTTTTAGATTGCACAGTTGAGTGAGACGGGAAGTCTCAGCAGTCCCTTCCCGTCCCCGTGGCACGGGAAGGGACTGCTTAACATGAAAGTATGGTTGGTAAAAATCATATCTGTGTTTTAGTAAACTTTTATTAAAGTGATGAAACTTAAAAATGTAAATTCGCTCTTCATGAAGGTGTCTTGTGCATACGCCTTTGACTATGGATTTCAAACTGTCATGCGTGGTTGATATTAGACATCCTTCTTACATAAATACGGATGGAATTTCATCATCGTGTTGTGGGGTGATCATGGCTTGCTTTCCCGCTCTTTAGCCTGAGCCTGAAACACTCGTTATACTTGATCATACTAGAGGTGCAATTCTCCACATAGGTCGCCTTGTCGCCGTCCGTTTTGCTCTTGGTGCAAGCGTCCTCACCGTAACCCGGCAGTACTCTTATCAGTAGCATTTTGTCGCAAAACCTAACGACACAAGATTTTGAAAAAATTGTCTTCAACAAACTTTGAAAATATAAACCAGTAGTGGAGTGCAAAACAGGAGCGTTAATAGTAACAGTATAAGGAAAATGCCCTCCTTTTCAACGCAAATTTTGACGGTATAAATTTTTTTTCCAGAGTCACGCAAATTTTATACGTTTCAGTATAAACCATACAAGAAAATAATCCTTTTTGCACGCATTTTTGCATCGACCCGTAATCGATCCGAAATCTTTCCGTTTTAATAATACAACTTCTATCTCGCATCGATCCCTACAGCATATTTGAGTGCTCATAATGGGATATTTTATTCATTTCGCTTGTATCTGTATACCTTTATGATGAACTCGATCACTGTTGGTTAGCTCCAAATTCGACTATGAAGCTTTTGTGTTAGTGGTGCCTATACTAACAATAGAAATTGTTTTATTCAGCAAATCAAAGAGAAAACGAAAAGCACCTTTATCCAACTTGCATTTTCGTTTTGAAAAGGTATTCCAAGTGGGGTAAATGAATTCAGTTACAGCCGTTTTCAGTCAAGTTATCAAGTTTTAGGACCACAAATGTAATAAAGTATTATTAACGCAACTGTAGTGTAGTGTATTGAGAACACAGCAAAAGTACTTTAATCACATAGAATAGGAAAGATGGTAAGTTTTGAGCTCACTAAAGAAATAGAGAAAAATTATTTTTTTCAATAGTACGATACTGAATGAAAGGTAAAAAACATTCAAACGTGTGTTACTGAGAAAAATAATCCAGTTTCGTAAGTTCACTTTATTTAAACTATGTCTAATCATAAATAAAGGGGGCAAGTTTCCAAAGAAACTGTGGTGTCGCGTCGGTGGGAGAGTATAACAGGATAATTTAGCATGAACTGAGTTGATAATGTAAATTGGCCACCGTAAAGAGTTTAAAAGCTGACGTTTCGAGCGTTAGCCCTTCGTCAGAGCAAATGGAGGAATTGTGGGTTGTGTGTGTATATGCAGAAAACAGAGCTACGCTATTAGTGCAAATATGGTGACGGTAAAATAAGAATAAATTAGTTGAATGAAAAGATAAATTTTTTTTCTAGAGTTTGGCGGCTTTCCGAACTGCCTAGATATAGGGAAAGGCCACAAACTGTCATATGCTGTTTAGAATGATTAGGGAGATTAGAGTGTCTAGCGACTGGATTGGATGCGTCCTTGTCATTTCTTTCCACCTCGCGAAGGTGCAATAAGTGCAACAATGCAATAGATGACATTGGCGGAGGTGCGCACGAAGTGATCAGTGATCTTGATGGATCTCACGGGTCCCGACATTACCTCTACGTTTTGAATGAAAGGACGAGTTTTGCATCGTGAGCGAACGCATTTGAAAGTTCCAGGTTGATAATTGGTTTGAAATGAACATCTGACAAAGGAGTTGCCAAATTTTTTTGTCGCGTTTGAATAATTTAGTGGAGGTTGCGAAAAGATAGTACCAGTTTCTGAATCGTTTTGAAGTAATTTAAAGTTTTTAAGAATGATAGATTTAATTGCGTGGTTGTGAGGGTGAATTGCAAGAGTGAATGGAATGCGATCAGTATTTTCCTTCTGTATTGACTGTCGATCATTTTTTTGGGCGCGGTGGTGGCCCGCTTGAACGACAGAAACAGGGTGGCCACGTTTATCGAAAAACTGGCACAATGCCTCTTATTTGTCGGAAAAACCAGAATCGCCACTGCATAAACGACGAAGTCTGAAAAACTGTGAAAAAGGTATGGAATTCTCTACGTGTGATGGATGCGAATATGAATAACACAATGCGCCAATGCAGTCATCAATGTAGCGACCGTAGAGTTAAGGTTTGGGGCCTCTGTATAGACTGAAAACTGATGGTGCTCCATAATACCTACGAACAGATTGGCTTAGCTGGGTCCCATTTTGGTCCCTATGGCTACGCCATTAGTTTGTTTGTAATGGTTGCCGCCGAATGAAAAGCAATTGAATGTTACGGTACTAGTTCGGCTAGATGGAGTAGTGTTTCAGCGCTAGGCTAGGTTAACAGTACGATGATCGAAAAAAATGTTTGAGGGCTAAAAGACCTTCGTCACTGGGAAGGCGACAGTATAAAGAGATGTAATATCCATAGTGAAAAGAAGTTTGTCTTGGCCAAGGAAATTAAAAGTCGCAAAAAATTTCAAGTGTGTGTCGGCTGTACCGAATGTATGATGGCAAAGTTTTGACGATAGGTGCCATCATTTTGTCTAAATAGCTGGAAATATGTTTGGTATGACAACTGCAGGAAGAGACGATGGGTCATCCTGGGTTGTTAGGGTTTGTGGATTTTAAGTAAAAAGTAAATACACGAAGTTCTGGGAGTGGTGATGGTAAGATTTTTGGCAGTGGCCGGCAATTCTTGTTTTGCTATTAGATCATTAATCGTGTTTTTGACAGTGTACAGTAGCCAATTTACATTATCAACTTAGTTTACAATTCTAAATTATCCTATAATATCTGATTGTGGTCAGTAACCGAGTGATTTAAAGTTTCATAAACTTTTAGAGCACAAAAAGGCAAAACTGCGACCTCGTGATCCAAATGGTAGCTTTTTATGCGCAAAAAACCCATCTACAAGGCGAAATTTGTATAAATAATCAGAATACTGTTGGAATACAGCCATTGAGGGCATAAATATTCGGCGAATAAATTTTGCATTACTTGACTGGATATGTCAGACGGGAACTAGCAAGTTCTGCTTACGAATTAAAAGGGCTTTTTGAAGTGCTGCTCCTTGCTAAGGAAGAAATGAAACCATTATATGCTGAACGTTAGATGCAATCCAATTAAATAAAAGTTAAACTTCGTTCTTCATTCTAGTTTAACTGAAAATCTAATTTAAAGAGGGAGCCTCACCGATAAGCCTTCCTAGCTTCTCGAAACTTCCTCGCCTTTTCCTTTTTCTATTTCATATTTCCTATGTATTATCTATGCATATAAGCTGTTCCTCTTTTAATAAAAAAATAAATGATTTTTTTTAAAAAATTAGAAAATCGAGCAGGTCGGATGAAGTCGAGCTGAAATAAAAATTCCAGGAATAACCGAGTGTATTTCCCTTTACTTTCAGCTTTGCTTTACCAGGAATGAACATTTTCAACGTCACTGATTTTATTGTGATAAACAGATTCTCAAGTAGGCGCAAAACCAACAGAAAACAGAATTAATTGAATAATACTAAACGAATTGTCGCAACCTACCAGCAACGGCCTGCGAGATGAGAATGGTCACCGTCAGTTAAAGGCAATTCATGTTCAAGACTCGTAAATCTACAGTTGGCTTATCTCAATAGCCCTTCAAAGGGACAACAACACCTTACAGCGTTTGGTTCGTTTTCTTGATCACTTACCCATGACAATGGTAGTTGTCAGTTGTACTCATCACAAACAGAGTTTATATTGAGTGAGAGAAGATCACGTCTGATTAAGTTTTACAAAAAAAGAATGTACCGTTATCCTAATAACTGAACTAATGCGTGATTCTTTTGAAATACCATTTACCATATGTCCCAACAGAGAGCTTCCTATTGTTAAGCTTCATGGCTGAAAATCTAAAATCAATTATCATTCGAAAAGGGGTAAGGCTGGAAAGACTGGATTCTACATTGTCCAGAACTTTGCATAAAGCAATGTATTTTGGATGAACTTTGGACGAAAAAAATGCGTATCTTTGAACAGATGTATCCATTTGTCGATAAATGTTTTTTCGACATGAATTATTAATATCTGAAAAATGAGAAACAAGGATAATTTAGCAATGCCGATAAAGCATAGCCCCGTGGAAGTTCTGCTATTACGCGTACTTGCTTGATTCAGCTGATATGGACGATATACCCAGGGTTGTGACTAAAAAAATTGGCCTAATGTAAGAAATTTTTTTGCCTAACGTTTGTTACCGCTTTGCATTTTCTGGACATAAGCGAAACGCGAGTTGATCCTAGCTACTGTTTTCACTAGTTTCAAAGTAACGCATTATTAAGGGGTAAATAATGTTCATCAGCGCGAAATAGCCTACCAATCAGATTACTTTTCTGAAATTACCAATTGTCATCTACAAATATATAGTTTGTGATTGGGTGGGAGGGTCAGATAGGGGAATATTAAGCTTAAGGTCATGAAAAATGGGCAGAGCCTGCGTAAGTCTATCCATCATGACCGAGGACCAATTACCTTCTTAATCGGCCCGATCTACCTTAATTGATAACCATTTTATCATGTGAACGCGACCGCTTCTCTATGTCTACCTTGAAATATATATCATAAAATCTCCGTTTGGGGCTGATGGTGCAGGTAGGGCTAGAGAAGACGTCTTGGTTCATCGTACGGCGCAGCGAGAGGAAAAAAGAAAGGAAGAGAGGGAAAAAGCGGCGGTCACTCAAATAAAATACTGATTGACTGAGTAAGTAATGTGTTCGTCTAACGACGCGTATGTGGGCAAACAGCTCGTTTCCAGGCCATTACCAGCGCCCTAGAAGATGCACGTGAGAAAGAAAAAAAAAGGAGCAAAGATAACAGTACGATGGGCTACAGAAGTGAACGATCGTGAGCGCCCTTTTATTCAATCATATGAAGTCAAGCCACAGAAAAATAGATTTTGAAAGTTTTAATGGAGAAACAAAACGCGAAAACCAACAAAATGATTAAAAGTAGTAACAATTGCCAGAAACTAAACGTGCACGGGAGATTCTGCTGCCTCAACTGTTCTGAAACTTAGTACATCTAAAACTTTCGGTGACCACGCCAACGGAAATGAAAAGTAGACTTGTACAGCCTTTCACGGCTTACTTCAGCAGTGCTAAGCCCAGGACAAAGCAAACGGCCAACAGGATGATGTTGGAAGTGAAATATGAGCTTGCGTTACATCCGTCTTCAGAACAGCAGCCAACCGCGCAATGGTAGTCCTTCAGAGTATCTTTCAATTTATCACAAGCGGACTTTTGGGCGTCACAGACCGATTGGTACGCACATCCACTTGCAACCACAGCATCGTCATCTTTGCTTTTAGACCAAGATCTGATGCATTTATCGCCGAGAATACACGTATGTAAAAAGATGCCTTTGCTTTCTTCCAACTTGCTCTTCTTACACGTGTTTTCAGTACCCGCGCAGACATAGCATTTTAAAGCAAAAGCTGACGAATTAAAAAGCAGAAAATGATGAAAAATATGTGTACAGACAGCATCTTACTTACACTGTATTCAATGGGGTTTAAAGACCTACTACAAATTCGCTATTAACTCTTTATCATGTGTACAGTGGCGGGAGTTTCATTGCTGTCCTCATACAGATTGCACTGTTTGTGTCTACTCTTTAGAGCAGTTCTCATAATAACTTTAAGCATTTATTTTTGCGTTTGAGAATGTCATGCCAAAGCAAAATGTCCACTAAAGTGAATTGAATGAATGTACATCCTGGGAGGTGGGTGGGGAATTTCCTTGATGGGCCTAACGAAACACGTATTGCAATTGCACAATAAAGTACGGCTCTTTGGATCTCGAGTCTTGAACAGGGCTAGAAAATGAGCAGATTTTGTCCTAAGTGGGGCCAGGATTTTAGGTCGGGGGTAATAAACTCCTATCCTTTTGGGCGGAGTTAAGCGACGGGAAAGCAACCATCTTCCCCTCATCTCACTACTTCTTCAAACCTTCAAGGAAAGTTTTACTCTACCTTGGATAAAAACGAAAGGAAAGCCAGGACCCAAGAAGTGTAAAACTTATGAATGTTCTTATTAAACGAGATAACATTGTGCCAAGAGTGATAAGTATTCATAAATTACCCGACCCAAGATAGGTGAATAAAATGTTTCCCCTGAGTTTGACCCACACCTAACGTACGACAGCTTTGAATCAATCCCTATGAAACTATATATCATTTTGAAGCTTATAACCTACAAAATTCGATAGTTTACCAGCCTGTTGTTTTTTCTATTTTTCCAAGATACAGAGATAATAACTGAGCAGAAAGAGAAAACTACTCGTCTATCTTCCTTCGATTTATAGGCGCTTGGGTTTTATCGTTTCGGCAAACAGTCTTTGGAAAGTCAATCAGAGCATATTAAGTGGAGATCCGTGTTTGGGCGGTCCAGGGCATTCCGCATCGGAAAAAAGTTTTGCCTCAAACTTTGCATATCTGAGGGGTTTGGACACCATTTCAACTTTGATATGTGTTTTCAGAGGTTCGTCATAATTTATTTAAAAACACCAGTAAGACAGATTTCTAAAATTGGTCAAAAGTACTCTTTCTTTCTTGAGTGATATTTCTCCAGTCCAGACCAGACCATGACTTTCGAAAGCATAGAAATACAAAAACCTCTTGCACTTATTATTTCCTTCGTCGTAGTGACTTTAAACTTTTGGTGATTTTGCTAGCGTGACAGCAGAATTATGCAAATTAGTCTGTTGAGCAAACTCTGACCGCACTATATTGGTAGCTTCATGAATTTTACATTTCAACCATTTTAAAAAAAAGAGGAGAAACTACGACAGAGCTTCCAGAACACACAAATTTATACTCTAACCATTTTGAATGGCTAAAATCAAGGAAATGATTCTATGTTGTAATGGAAGAGGTGAAAAAAAACGTATGGAATATTATACTGATTAGCAATCGGTCAACGTTTTTTTAAAATGAAACTCTTTTTTAAAAAATTGGTTTCTGTTCTTTCATATTTGAGTTTAGAGAGCTTAAGCTATTCAAACCGGCATAGACATTTCAGAACCAAACTACAGGATTTTATTTAGCGTAACTAGCGATAACAGCACTAAACTAGTCGATCGAGCAATCCCTCTGTTTTGGCGAAGTCCGCCGCGCAAGTCGAAGATAAATCAGTAAGAAAAATTAATGCTAGGGCCTCTTTCCAAAAGCTCCCGGCGGCGCGCTAACATCTGTGAAGATGCCTGGAAGACCTAGGCTAGAATTCAAAGCAAAAAATCACGTAATCGCCGCCTTATTTAGACGGGAGAAGTACACAACTGAATTACGTGACCGAGTCACTGGTCACGGTGAAGTATGTGCTCCTATAGATTACGTGCGGTTCTTCCTTTTCCTTTCCGTAAAAAAAATATGAAAGCTTAGGGAAAAAATTATATTTATATAATTAGCGCGCCGCCGAGCGCCCTTGGAAATGGTGTGAAAGTGTGGAAGTGTGGAAGTATCTGGAATTATGCAAATGAGGGTTTACCTAACCCATATTTATCTCAACTTGGTAGTCTGGGAGTGTGGAAATATGCAAATTATCTCAAAGAGAGATTGTCACTCAATTGTGAAAAAAAGGCCAAGTAGGTAAAGGTTGATTGATGTCTTCTTTCAAAGTTATGACCTTTTCAAGTTCGAGCATGTAATTTTTTTTTTCTGACCTTTGCACTCTTAATCACAGCTGAAAAAAAATATTTGATTTACTCCTAAATTCTCGCCAGAAATTATGTTTTGTCTACTAATCGGATGAATTTCGATAGATTTCACTCCGATATTTAAGATTCTGCTAAATATAGCTTTTGAAAAATGTTGTACCTGAAAGTATCTTGTATCCCTAACCCTTCAACGCTCAAGATCGCATTCGTAATTCTCGTTACTGTCTGCCATATAATTCCTGTGATGCTGGTTCTGAGATTTGGTACTGGATCAACTAAAAAAAATCCTCAAACTTACACTTTTCTACATTCTCATCAACTGCTTGATATTGTGTTGATATCGTAATGAGAAATTCTGTCCTGGTCACTCATGGGAGTTAAAGGGTTAATTGAGATAAAAGTTTCTAGAAAACTATTGCCTTCCCGCGGGGCGCCTCTTTGTTTTGTTATGAACGTCAGGGGTTCTGCAGTATCATTGGCTGGCAGCTCAAAGTGCAAGCCTGATGTTGACATGATTCTTTGAGAAGACGTGGTCGAAAACTCAGTATTATTTCGACAAGATGCCTCCTATTCAAATGAATAAATAGAGTATACAGAATGAACAGAATTCCGTAACCTTTGATTCGAACATTAACTGAGAAGTGAAGACTTAAATTGTGTCGGTTTTTTACTTATTGATGGATTGTCCCGCTCCCAACAGCCACATCACGTTTACAAGTTCGGTCATTTCGCTCTGTTTATCAGGTTCATTAGTTTTAACTATATTTCGGAAATGTTTTCGTTGCTACCGCTGAAATAATATAAGGAATTGTGTATCACTCACCTGGGGCAGCTACTGACACAAGAACAGCCAATGTAAGCAGTAAACGACTCATTTTTGAGGCTGTCTCCCTGTCTGTTTCGGAGTCACACGTTTCCTGCCTGGCGCAGTTTTGCCTGAGACGAACGATAAAAATATATGTAGATGCATTACAGTCACCAGTGAGGAGTTGATCAATACAACTTTAAACTTACCTTGCTCTAAAGTATTTAATACAGAGAAAAGAAATGTAAATTAAGTGTAGCTTTTTTTGCCTCTTTTAGCCGCTTAAAATGTGTTTTCCTGGTGTATATTCTTGGGGAGTGGGATGTGTTCGAGTTTGAGTTGGACTTTGTTACGACATGTTACGATTAGTTTGACAACTTGCCTTATTTGGTTATTTGCCTAATTTTAATTAAAAAATTCAAAAATATGCAGTGATTTTACTGCTCACGGAAACTGCCTCCAACATAGCATTTGTGGTATTTTTTTTTTGCCCTCATGGGCCGTTTAAGCGTCGTTTTTTCAATGAAATTACTTTTGGCCGCAGGCCGTCCAAAAAAGAAAAGAAGAAGTTCACTATATGTTGTGGACATGTAGCGACGAACATTTATTCTTAGAGAAATTTACCAAGTATTTCATTTCATTTCGCGAACAAACGCTAATTAAATTTTGCGATCCCTCTTTTCTCTCAATTAGAAAAGACCAAAGCTGACTACAAAGATTTCAATGGCGTTGTCGGAAATGAGACTGACGAGTCTGCTGTGTTCCGAAACTTCACCTTTTATTTCAATCAACTTGATCCCCCCCCCTCTCTCTCTCTCTCTCTCTCTCTCTCTCTCTCACACACACACTGTACTCCTCTCATATTGTCCTCAATGTCCAAATTGTGTAACAAAATATGTGTTTATTGTTCATCGTGGTGTAAGATAAGAGATTAACTTTGTTCGTTTGTCTCACGATAGTGCCACTTTTGATGTTGATCGCAACGTTTCGACTGCAATACTGCTAGTCTTCAACAGGCGATGATGTCGATTGTTTACGTGTCGCTGTTTGTAGCACGTTAGTACGCTGCTACTGGTGTTAATGAGGATCGAAATGCACAAATAGCAGAGTACCAACGTGCTACAAATAGCGACACGTCAACAATCGACCTCATCGCCTGATGAAGACTGGCAATCGTCGCGATCAACATCAAAAGTGACTCTATCGTGAGACAAACGCACACAGTCCATCCCCAAATGTCCAAATTATCTGTCACCTCTGCCTGTTGTCACCTTATAGCAAAAACTCAACCGGAAATTAATTAACTTTGAACAATCTCCGACAGCGTTTTCCATCGAGTGGAGGCAACCGCAAGTCATGAGAGCGGAGCTAATACCGAGGAAATTTTTGGCATACACTATTCCAGTCAATACTCGTCTATTTAGCATATTAGATATTCCTTTTTATGGCCTTTAAATCTCGAAATCACATATAGCACGCTTGGGCCGCCTGTCAAAAGTAACAGAAAAATTAAATCAATACGAAAAATAAAGGACGAGCATCGCTCTAGTCTTTGGCGCATCACGTAAGTAGAGTCAGGCCAGTACCAAAGCACGTGATGAACAAAATAATGTTGATGACGATAGTGGAGCTTGCATTGCATGCGTCGTTAGAGCAGCAACCAACCGCACATTTCTGGTCGTTATCCTCACAGCGTTCTTTCGCCTTTTCGCAGAGAGATTGTTTTGCACATGAGCTAAACACCTCAGTTACGCCATCTTTGTCTTTTGTCCAAGTTCTCATACACCTGTCAAACCCTGCCAAACAGGTTTGCAAATAGAAGGTCTTATTGCCCTCCAACTTTCTCTTGCCACATGATTTATCAGTACCTTTGCAGGTGAAACATTTCAAAGCAGCAGCTAGGAAACATGAGAAAAAAAATTATCCTGTTTCCTTGATTAGCTTTGTAGTTAGCTAAAATATCAACAATCTTTGAAACCAACGCCACGACTATTAAAAGAAGTGACGAGGGCCCAGATGCACTTCCATTTCGCTTTAGGAAACAGGAAAAACCTACGCCCTCCTCTAAATAACCTTGGTCCCTTGGGAGTAGTTGATGTTTTGACAAACAGCGAAGATAATGACTTGTTTTTGGATTTTTCGAAAATGGTTTTGGAAAATATGGAAAAATATGTCATCCGGGGAGGCAGACTTCGGTTTTTACTATGTGCTAAAAACAGCTACGGTGAAATCGACAAAACCCGGCCAAGGCCCTGATTGTCTAATTCTGTCCTCTTATTTTCTTCTTGCTAAGAAGCAATACAGCATAAATCTCTTTTATAATCTTTATTTAGCTGAGGTATTTATTGACAGCTCCGACTGGTATAAATTAACCTGAAGGTATAGGAATGGCATGGTGTCAATTTGTTCGAAGATTTATCGATAAATTTATCAATGACTGACCGACCGACCGACCGACAAGGAGGTATCAAAGATCAGGAAAAGCCAGAACATGAGCCTATTAATGGGCTCCTGGCCAGAACGATTCTCTGCTAAATGCCGACCTTCGATATTAATCACACTTAAAACATAAGTGGATCTATGTCCTTTCTGTGGATCTTGACCTTCCTAAGTTTAGAGAATACACAGGGATACTTTGAGTAGTAATTGAAAAACTGAAAATATTTAGGCTTAATGACTAAATTTTTTTTCTGCTTGTCAAATGCATGAAAATTTAGCGTTAGCGCCTCTTTCAGTGATATCAATGTCAGAGATATAGTTTGCGTAGATAGCTCGCGACAGCGCAAATTCATCAATAGAGGTTGATTCGGGTACACAGGGTGTAGTAATAATAAGAGAGGAATTAGTGGAAAAGTTAAATGTGGATATATAGGAAAAAGATTAACCGTAAGTTTCGCAGTTAGATATGTTTGATTGTCTGTACAGTGTAGTATTTGGCCGAACTGCGGATATACGATTGATATTAAATCTGAATAATTTTAAAAGTATGCACCGCTCTTACCATGGGCAGCTATTAACAGCAGAATAGTCAGCGTAAGCTGAAAACGGCTCATACTTCTGGCTCTACTCTTGTTTCGGAGATCAACTTTTCAAGATATCAAAGGATACCCAAGTTGGCTTCCGAAATGTTTACTATGATCTTTGGTCTCTTGACTTGCACGTGGCTAGTCCTTGCGAGCGAGGATAGCTTTGTGGCTATTTATCACCGATAAAATATTTTTGAATGTTTTCAATCCTGATGTTATTTTATACTTCCGTTGCTCCGTGCTTAAACGTGTGGCAACTTTTTCCATCTGGCTTAGACCATGTTTTGTTTTTTTTTGGTTTTCTTAATCGATCTCTGAATTGTGAGTTGTTACAGGGGTCATAAGAACATAAGACATAGTTCTAGATTGCCGACAAAAATAATAAACAAATTAACGATGGTCGAAAAATATCAAACCAAAAACCTCAAGTCTGAAAAATTAGTGCATTGTTGAGACTGACCATCAGTACTTTAATTTTTTGTCATGCGAATGTGAAACTGACACCTAAACCCGGGACTATAATAGTTATTGAAAATATCGCCAATTCCTGTTTTCAATCCTCCACTGTTAAGTCATGCGTGTGCCTGTTGAGTCGACTCGTGCCTGTGCCAAATGATACTCACGGGTTAGCATGAATCATCTTTCAGTTGCCTCACGTCTCCCTTTTTGTATGTGACAAAAGAAGCGAAGAAAAAGCGTGATGGTTTCACAACATGGGGTGTAATCCAGCTGTCTGATGAAACCCTCCTGACATATCCAAGCTCCAGACAATAAAATTTCTCAGGCAGAATCGGTCACAATAACTGACTTCTACGTTTTGCAGACGGTAAATATCGGCAAGCAACAGTAGCCACCATAGTTCCACTTCGCAGGTTTCGTTGGTTTTACGCAAGAAGTGATTGGCAGCGGCCCAGGCAAATTGGAAAACAAACCTAGGGGAGGCGCGAGGAATACCTGATGGCGATTTCCGGCGTCGGTGATTAACTCCTTTGTTTGCGAAACAGATGAGTAGTACCTCTATTTTAATGATATGCATGATTGAAACACAATTCATATGTTATCCTGTGTCTTTTTTGTCAAATAATCGTTATATACACACATTTAAATCCAATAAATCTATGAAATAGGGCAGTAAATATTTTTATTTCATTATTAATTCATCATTATTAATTCATTTATTTTTACTATTCGCCACTATTCGTCATTATTCATCACTTTCGTCACTATTCGTCACTACTCGTCACTATTCGCGACTATTCGCACTATTCGGTCACTATTCGGGTTTTATCACTAGCCGCTGACGAGGGCCAAAAAAACATCATGAAGTCTGATTGTGACCATTCCGAGCGCTTACGCGTTCTCAATTCACCGTAATATTGTGTTTGCTAATCTGCATTAATGCTGAACAAAGCCTTGTGAAGAGTACGAGAGAAAAAAAAGAGAGCGAGAATTTTTGAAGGACGAGAACACTTCCACAAGAGGTCTCTTGACAACGCCAAGCTGCAGAGGGGAAACTAAGGCAGACGCCCTCTGAAAAGAAACGAGGCTCTCCAGAAATTCGTCAAAATGAAAGATCGTAACAGTAGCTCTCGAAAAGTGTCTGTTTTTTCCCATTCTAATCAGGCAGTCTTAACCACAGGAGAGCTGCCTAATGAAATATGGTTCTCAAAGTTTAAATGGGGCATAAAATGTGACCGGACCTAACTTATAAAATCATAAATTTAGCACCACTCTAGATCAAATTTTAGATTTAATTGAAATCTTCCGTCTCCAGTATGTTGGAGCATCTAGGCGAAGATAAACGTTTAACGCTGTGCGAAATAGTTATTGTTAATTTCAGAGTGAGTGAAGCTACCTGAAAAAAAAATGGAATAAAAAACATAAAGAAAAAAAAAAGGGAAGAGGGAGTCTTCATATGAGTGAAAAGCTAAAAGCCCGGTAAAGCCGTTCCCTTCAGCAGTTCCAATTCCTGGCCCCGGAGTTGGTGACGGTAAAAATGAGCCCGCGCTACATCCGTCTTCAATTAGGTATGAATTACTAGCAATCTGCACAGACTGCAGAAAGATATACAGCAAAGACACTTCCCAAAAAAGGATTGGTTGTACCCTGAGGAAACTAGACAACATGTGTTACCTCAAAGATGTGTTTTAGTAACAATCTGTTTGTATGTTTGTTTGTTTTTTTAATTTCCTTTGTTAGGAATCAAAACATAAGGCAACCAAATACATGCCCATTTTCAGTTTTTTTTGTTTGCTTGTTTTGCTAAAGATGCTGGTATTGAAACCATAAGCCACATTGCCCCTTCGACTCCATTCCTTAAAGCTCCACCTACATGTGGCTGGAATCCAGGATCAGATGCAGCCTCTGTTTTGACACTTTTGGTTA